CATATTTCAAACAGAGTGGCAAAGAACAGTAGCATCTCAGAGAGACCCCCACATTTTGACAGTTGACTGGCATCTGGGCTGCACCTATCAAAGGTCATCTTTGTGGCACAAAGTGTTCTCTTAGGATGGAAAAATGCTTTCCCATTAGGAACAAAATGGCTCAGTGTAAGAGGAGCAGTTGTAAGAGGAAAATGAAATGCAGAAGATGTGTTGGGTGGGCGAGATTTGCTGGAATCTTTTCTTTTCTTTTTCTTTTTTTTTTTTTAAAGAGAGAGTGAGAGAGGAGAGAGAGAGAGAATTTTTAACATTTATTTTTTTTTAGTTCTCGGCGGATACATCTTTGTTTGTATGTGGTGCTGAGGATCGAACCCGGGTCGCACACATGCCAGGCGAGCGTGCCACCGCTGAGCCACATCTCCAGCCCCTGCTGGAATCTTTTCAAGTGTGTAAAATTTTGTTCCAAGCTTATCTTTATGCGCATTTCTGCCTCCTCTCATGAGACACTCTTTCCTACCATGAAGTGAAAGATTTTTTTCTACCCTTGTCCTCCAGCTCTGTCTTCTGGTAGAGACTGAGCAATCACTATTGTCACCACCAGGCTCATCCTGAGGGGCTGTTTTGCCTTCATTCCCAGGCTCCAGGGGAGACCAGAGTTTTTCCTAGGTCCTCTGGATTCATCGAAACAGACGGGCATGGTGAACTGATTTGACCAAGGGATTAGAAAAAGCAGAAGGGAACTGTACACAAAGAAGAACTTCTAAGTGGGGCTTACTCATAACTGCTCTTGACTGTCATCTTTCTCAATGGGTCTCTTGCTGTCCAGCAACTTGTGCCCCCTTGTGGCAAAACCTCAATTTCTCCATTGCCGCCACTTGTTTTCTTTTTTTAAAAATTTTCTTTTTGTATATGGTGTGTAATTCCACATCATATATGACCACATCAGGTTGTTTTTAGATATATGTGACAACAGAGTCTATTTTGACATATTATGCATACATGGAGTACGTCCCATTCCAATTAAGATCCCATTCGTGTGGTTGTACATAATGTGGAGTTACTGATTGTGTATTCATTTAGGAGCAAAGGTTATGTTCAATTTATTCTACTTCATGATAGCCAAGCTATGGAACCAACCAAGGTGCCCTTCAACAGATGATGGATAAAGAACATGTGAGATATATATAGTGTGTGTGTGTGTGTATGTGTGTTGTGGGGGTACCAGAGATGGAACTCAGGGGCTGTCAACCACTGAGCTACATCCCATCCCTATTTTGTATTTTATTTAGAGACAGGGTCTCACTGAGTTGCTTTAGTGCCTCACTGTTGTGGAGGCTGGCTTTGACCTTGAGATCCTCCTGCCTTAGCCTCCCAGCCAATAGGATTACAGGCATGCGCCACCACCCCACGGCTCCTTTTTATATTTTATTTAGGGATATGGTGTCACTGAGTTGCTTTAGTTCCTCACTGTTGCTGAAGCTGGCTTTGAACCTGTGATCCTCCTGCCTCAGCCCCTAGAGCCACTGGGATTACAGGCATGCGCCATCTTGCCTGGCTATCCACTTGTTCATGAGTTCACATAGATAGATGTTTTTGCAGTCTAGGTCCCATGGTCTCTTTCTTCCATGTCCTGAGTCACTATATGTGCAAGCACTCTACAACTGAAGCATATCCTCAGCCTGTAGTCACTATTTTCTGCCCCAGGAGATTCCTTTTCCCTAGATGATTAATAGGGTACGTCCTCTCCCTTCCAGAACTACCCCAACTTTGAGTCCTTTCAGATCTAGGCGTCATATCCCAAGAGTCCAGCATCAGTAAAAGCAGGGTATGAGTAACTCCAGGGCAATTGTCTCCTTACACTTCCTGCCATGCTTATAGATGTGAAAAGAACCCAGAAAGAGGACAATTTAGCTTAAAAAGTCTGCTTGCCAGTGGCAGAAGTGGAGACACCATCTGCACGATAAACTTGGCGTTTATGGGAAGGGCAGGATTTACACTTATACTATGTAGATTGGGGCTATCTTTAGACAAAAGAGGAGGCTGGGCAGCGTCACTGCAGCCAGACCAGCTAGCTGTGTGGAAAGGAAGCTTTTATACAGACTTCAGGTCTGAGTGTGTGACCCTAAGTGATAGATGCTCCGGCTGATGCTGGTGACCCATGCTCTCTAAGATCAGAGACCGCAACCATTTCTTCCACAGCCATTGGCTGAGCTCTTGCTATATTTCCTGGAAGAGGTTCTAAGGATGAGTTGGAGAAGGTCCTTGCATTCTAACAGCTCACCGAGTAGGGGAGAATCCTGGCTTGCCAACACGTGAAGACAGTACAGTAGGGTTCCTGTTAGAGTAGTGATTTAAGTGCTAGAGGACCAAAGCCTGGGGACAGCCATCAGCCATTGGGGGCAGCTCAGCTAAGTTCCCAGAGAATCCATCCTTCATTATGGAGAGAGGAGCAGCAATGAAATGGAGCCCAAACCTTCCACAGCTGACTGGCCCCACCACAGTGGTCTCTGTGCTATCCAGCAGCCTCCCCAATGTCCTGTGACCCCTGCCCCAGAGCAATGGGAACCAACCAATCATTGACAGCAGCTGTGGAAAAGAGTGGGGTTGGTTCCGTTCCCAAACTCCACCAGGCCACACCAAAGAAGTCTACTGTGCAAGTAGGAATTCAGTGCAGTCCTCTGCCTCCTTCCCATCAACTGGCCCCAAATCCCTCCTAGGGGCTGAACTCCTTCTGAGCCTCTGCTGTAAAAATAAAAAACCTTTTGTCTTTATTTTTGTCAGGAACATTGGTGATCTACTAGGGAATTTGGGAATAAACCAATGGAACTAAATTCAAGAAATGGAAGGCAATAATAAGTGGTCATCCACGGAGTGGAGAATTCAGATAACAGACCTTAACTCCAGCCCGGTACACAGGAACCTCTGGAGTTTCTGATGTGCTGGAATTCTGTGACTTAATCTTGTTCCCCAAATGCAGACATGGGTGGGGCTCAGGAGGGAGGTGTGGTTTGATGTGGTTTCTCTATTTCCCTTTATTCATCCATTTCCTTCCAAATGTTAAGTCACTGTTGTCTCCGAGTTGCAGGCTCCTGCCTTGGCTGTTCCTGGCTGGTACTTCAGGTAAGAATCTGCCTGTTTGTTCAGGACTTTCTTTGGGCTAGGGAGGCTTGGTTTGACTTTATTGTAGAATACGCATTTATTTCTCTGGAATCTGAGGATTTCGGTTACCTGGCTTCCTGCCTCCTCCCTGTGCCTTCGATTCAGTTCTGACCTTCTACTTGGTCATAGTTGGTGAGAAGGAGCCTTCTTGTCCTTTCTCTGTACTCTTTGCCCTTTTGTAGGGCAGAGGTCAACAGTTCCTCAATTGAATAGTCATTGGTTTGTCCTAAGACTACTATGACTCTGTCCTCTGTGAGAATGCGAATGCTGGAAGGGAGAGAACATACTGAGAACATACTGAACTTATCAGAGAAACTTAGATGTGGAAGCAAGGGAGAGGTACCTTCTCCGTCTCCCTCAATTTGCTGATGTGAAATGGAAATGTATAGGTGTAAAAGATCCCAGTCAAGGTCACAAAAGAGAAAGCCACTAAGTGCCAGCTCACCTCGTTTCCAGTTTGGTGAACTTCCAAAGATTTTCAGAGGGTTCTCTGGAGGGCCTGGAGCAGGGGTGGGGTGGGGGTTGGGGACGTCTTCAAGGAGAGACCTGCACATGACCTCCTTGGCCTGCACTAGCAGCTCAGCTTTGATCTGTTTCTCGTACTGGGCTTCTGGGAAGTTTCAACAAATTGTTTTTTTTTTTTTTTTTTTTTAAAGAGAGAGTGAGAGAGGAGAGAGAAAGAGAAATTTTTTTTAATATTTATTTTTCAGTTCTTGGCGGACACAACATCTTTTTGTTGGTATGTGGTGCTGAGGATCGAACCCGGGCCGCACGCATGCCAGGCGAGCGCGCTACCACTTGAGCCACATCCCCAGCCCCCTCAACAAATTGTTTTACAAGAAAAAAAAAAAACTATTTGAAATCTGCTGAATGATTCTGTGGATGTTTAAGCGATTGAGACGTTGTCCTCTCAAATGCTTAGACTTCCTTTAGACAGAGGACCAAGATATTTAATACTCATTTGAAGATAGGCTTAAAATAGAGACAGTCCCCCACTTACGATGGTTCAATTTATAATCTTTCGACTTTACAATGGTGTGACAGCACCACACAACCATTCTGCTTTTTTTTAAACTTTCAGTAGGGTATCCACTAAATTTAACACGAGATATTCAACATTTTATTACAAAATAGGCTTTGTGCAAGAGGATATTTTCCCAAGCATCATCTAATGTAATGTTCTGAGCACACTTAAGATAGGCAAGGCTAAGCTATGATGTAGGTTAGGTGTATTAAGTGCATTTTTGACTTATGATATTTTCAGCTAATGATTGATATAGTCCCATTGTAAGTTGAGGAGCATCCACATAGCATAATGCAATTTGATGCTGTCAGTTTCTTCTAGCAGATTTGTGAATTGAAGGCACAGGGAGGAGCACAGGAATTGGGAGCTCATAGGAGGAGAAATAAGGTAGAAAGGGACAACTGGATCGGGCTTGCATCCTGCCCTTTTGCAGAGTTCTGGCCTCCCCTGAGTGGGTAAGACCAGCCTGATTTCCCATCTGAATGCACACACATGGCAGAGGATGAAGGCTAAAGAGGGCAAGAGGTGGAGCTGCAGGTAGAGTTTCCCCAGTCCTCGGGCCAATCAAGTGCAAAGGTGTCTTCTCTGAGTTGGATCTTATCCCATGCTCACGCTGGGCCTCAGAGTATATGGAAGGTTGGTAACCCAGGGTGGTCAAGTTGGAGGTAAAGGGAATAATCTCGGGTTTCCAAACCATCAGAGAAGCAAAAATTGTCCTGATAAGTGTTCTCACATCCTTCATAAGAATCACTTGAATCTGAATAACTAAATCTTATTTCTTCTAACCTTTCAACTAGGTCAAACCATGTCTGAAATCAAAGAAGGCATGTGGAATATCTCTGATCTGTGGACATTCTTTGAGTATGATTTCAATTTCACTGGCATGCCACCTGTGGGTGAAGACTACAGCCCCTGTAGCCTGGACACTGAGATGCTTAACAAGCATGTTGTGGTGGTCATCTATGCTGTGGTGTTTCTGCTGAGCTTGCTGGGAAACTCCCTGGTGATACTGGTCATCTTATACAGTCGGGTCAACCGTTCAGTCACCGATGTCTACCTGCTGAATCTAGCCGTGGCCGATCTGCTCTTTGCTCTGACCTTGCCCATCTGGGCGGCTGCTAAGGAGAAGGGCTGGATTTTTGGCACACCCCTGTGCAAGATGGTCTCACTCCTAAAGGAAGTGAACTTCTACAGTGGTATTCTACTACTGGCCTGCATCAGCATGGACCGATATCTGGCCATTGTCCATGCCACACGGACACTGACCAAAAAGCGCCACTTGGTCAAGTTCATATGTCTGGGCATCTGGGGATTCTCTTTGATTCTGTCCCTGCCCTTCTTCATCTTCCGCCAGGCCTTTAGTGTTACCAATTCCAGCCCAGTCTGCTATGAGTTCCTGGGTAATGATACAGCAAAATGGCGGATGTGGTTGCGGATCCTGCCCCAGACCTTTGGCTTTGTCATACCGCTGCTCATCATGCTGTTCTGCTATGGCTTCACCCTGCGCACCCTGTTTAAGGCCCACATGGGGCAGAAGCACCGGGCCATGAGGGTCATCTTTGCTGTTGTGCTGGTCTTCCTGCTCTGCTGGCTGCCTTACAACCTGGTCTTGGTCGCAGACACCCTCATGAGGACCCACTCAATTGAGGAGACCTGTGAGCGCCGCAGTGACATTGGCCGGGCCCTGGATGCTACAGAGATTTTGGGTTTCCTCCACACCTGCCTCAACCCCATCATTTATGCCTTCATTGGCCAAAATTTTCGCAATGGATTCCTCAAGATCCTGGCTACCCATGGCCTGATCAGCAAAGAGTTCCTGACACGTCATCATGTTACCTCATACACTTCTTCCTCTATCACTGTCCCTTCAAACCTCTGAAAAGCATCAATGAAAGGATATGTCACCCTCATAAAGAAAGAATAACCCTCATCCCAAGGTTGTGTGGGGCTAGCCTGGGTCCAGACAGATGTTATCTGGGTTTGGAGGGGAACTATAAAATGTGGGGAAGTTAGGGACTTTTGTCTTCAGGGCCCTCACCAGCCTTCTGAGGAAGTGCCGAGAGACCTCCAAGGACTAGCTTCAGGTTTCCATGGAAAGGAGCCCCACCATTTCTGTTGAATTCTTGGATCTTTGACCCATTAACTGGGTAATCAGCACCGTCACATGCATAGCCCCATCTGACATTGGAGCAAAACAAACAAGCAAGCAATCAAGCAAACCAACAAACAAAAATGGGCTGAAACTGTTTGCTCCTATGGGCTGACTGTCTTGGTGACTCTCTGGAGCATCACCCCAACTGCTGAGTATGTTCCAGCCAGCCTGTTCGAGAACTCTGTGTCCTGTGCTCTGAGTTCATGCAACTCTTTCCTTTCTTTCTTTCTTTTTTTTTKGGGGGGGGGCGGGGAGGCTACCAGGGATTGAACACAGGGGCACTTATCTACTGAGCCACATCACCAGCCCTTTTTATTTTTTATTTTAAGACAGGACCTTAAGTTGCTTAGGGCCTCACTAAATTGCTGAGGCTGGCTTTGAACTTGTGATGTTCCTGCCATAGCCTCCCAAGCCACTGGGATTACAGGCATATGTCACCACGCCCGGCCACGCAATTTTTTTTCTATCTCCAGTGTGTTGCAGTGTCTTCTGGGGACATGGAAGCAGGTGCTGCTGAAACATCAAGCCATCCTTGTGACGGAGACCTTGTGATGGAGCAGGAAAGCGTTCTTCTCTTAGGTAGAGTAGGTGAACAGAGGGTGGTTGGGAAGCCAGACCAATCGCAAGAGATGCCTCTTTACATCATGACCAACATCCTAGACAGGACAATGTGCACGTTGGGAATGTGCTGAGCCGTGGATGGAACAAGGCTAGCAGCTCGTTGCCCTCTTGGTGCTTCTAACGTACACAGAGTCTCAGCAACCTCACAGATCCCCGCACAGCGGTCAATCAGCTGGGTGCTAGCCATTTCCAATAAAATTTCTGTTTTGTGAAGTTAGCCAATCCCCAAAAAACAAATGCTGAATGTTTTCTCTGATATAAGGAGGCTGATTCATAGTGGGGTAGGGAGGGGGAGCCTGGGAGGAATAGATGAACTCTAGATAGAGCAGAGGGGTGGGGGGGGAAGGGAGGGGGCAGGGGGTTAGAATTGATTGTAAATGTGATGGATATCATTACCCTAAGTACGTGTCTGAAGACACAAATTGGTGGGAATATACTTTGTATACCACCAGAGATATGAAAAATTGTGCTCTATGTGTAATATAAATTGTAATGCATTCCACTGTCAGGTATAAAAAAATTAATAATAAAAAATATATATAAATTTCTGTTTTGCATTTGTGCCTGTGGGAATATCTTGGCTGTGATGTAGAGTAAAAGGTGTGAGTGATGTCACTGGTTGTTCCTACAGTAGAATGGGGGTATTACTCCCCCAAAAGTATCTCTTGAGACACAAACACATTGTTCTCGCTCCCTGGGCTGAGGATCCCTGTGGCCTGAGCAAAAGAAAATGTACCTCCAGACAATCTCAGCTTCATCTCCACTTAAGCTTCCTCCCCTCGGGTCCCTCAAAAGCAATTTAGGACATCACACCAGGAAACAGAGACTAAGCTCAGCTCTCAAAATACATTCCCCAATCCTGACTGTGTTAACCCACCCCTTCCCCAAATGCTTACGTGGATGGAATAGCAGTTTATTCATAGTTTTTCCTCTGTGAAGCGGGAATCATCTGTTTGTTCACTCTGTATCCCTGGTATCTGACAAGCTGCTTGGAGCCCATTTACCTCTCAGTCAATATTTATTGAATGAATGAATAGTTGCGAAAAGGCCCAAGCTCATTTGCACACCATCTGCTCAGAGCACCTCTTATCTATGGGTCCCCTCTTCTTCACCCTCCTGCCACCCTGGGTGAGTACTTCATCCCTTAAGTTTGCCTGTGTGGTTTATCTTCATTCTGTTTTTATCTGTGTAAAAATGTTCTGAAGGTATTGGGGCTCCTTTAATTGCTCATGGTAGATACTCAACTCCAACCAGCTTAAGCAACACTGAGAATGCATTGGAATATGGGGCATGGCGGGTGTCAGATGGCTTGAGCTGGAGGTTCCCAGGTGGGCATTCAATAAAGGGTGAGACTGGGTCAAGGGTTGAGGTTGGAGTCAAATGAGGTGCAGGGATGGGTGGAGGTTGGGTTAAGGTGAAATGTCAGAGAAGGATGAATGTCAGGAATAGGGAGAGATTCAGAAATAAGGAGAGATTGGGGATGGGGTGGGTGAGGATGAGGGATACTATGAGGGCTTGGAGACAGGGAGGGTCCAGTTGGGGCTGGACCAGGTTGGAGAGAGGCTTAGGGGTTGGGTAAGTGCGGAGTTGTGGGAGGCTCAGGGAGGGGTGTCAGGATGGGTGACTGGCTATAAGGCTGGAGCAAAAAGACCTCACTAGTAGGGTCACTCTTTGTTTTAGTCAGCTTTTTTTACTGCTGTGACCTAAAGAAAGACCTGAGGAGAACAATTAGAGCAGGAAAAGTTTATTTTGGGGCTCAGTCCCTAGATGGCCGACTGCATTCCTCAGGGTCTAAGGTAGGGTAGGAAGTCAGGGCCGAAGAGTGAGGCAAAGAAAGCAACTTAGGACATCACACCAGGAAGCAGACGCTAAGCTCAGCTCACAAAATACGTACCCCAAAGGCACACCCCAATTTCCACCTCCTCCAACCACACCCTATCTGCCCACAGTCTCCACCCAGGGAATCCCTATCAGGGGATTAATTCACTGATTGGGTTAAGGCTTTCATAATCCATTCACCCTTCTTGCATGAACTTTCAGGCGACACCTCACATCCAAACCATGACACCATGGTTTCTGGAGCATCATCTACGATGCTCTTGATGGAGGCTCCTGGGCTGGTTCCACCTGAGGTTCCCCAGGCAGGTGGGTGAGAAAGAAGTCAGGGACTCCAGCGCTCAGACACGAATCTGACTCAGGAAAGAAGATGAGAAGAATGCAGAAAGCATCCCTGCGAGGAGGGCTAAAAACAGGAAGGACCTCTTTTCCTCTCTCTCCCGCCCCTGTGTCCTCTGCCCTCCCCTGTTTCCTTAATATCCGTCTTTCTTCTCCGTCACCCTGTGCCGATTCCCAGGCAGCTCCCTTATGGCTTCAGAAAGGAAACGAAGAACCTTATTGGATCTAGGGAAACACAAGTGACTAGCAACCACTCTGCTTTGCTAGTAGTTTGGGAAATGGGAATTTAGCAGCCATAAAATAAGGCGGAAGGGTTTTAAACAGGGGAGGGATATAATCAGAGCTCTTCAACCCAAAAGTTCAACATTATTTGATTAGATATTTCAATGTGGCATGTGGTCCTCTGGGTTTAACACAAGACATAAATGACTTGGATTTCAGATTTTTTAAAATGCCAGGATTTTGGTACTCCCTTGACATAACATAATGAAATATCCAATACAGGCATTTCAATCACTAGATAGAGTGAGGATTAGATGACTGGTCAGATCTAGGGCGATAGGTCCCCGTAGGGAGGGGCTCATGACCAGGATGGGGCTGGGATCAGGGGTGGGCAAATCAGGGGAGGAGTCGGGGTCAGAAATGGGAGATGGTGAGAAAGGGGATTGGGATTAGGATAGAGGGCACATCAAGGATAAAGTGGGGGGCAGGGGCTGGGTCTGAATTTATGTTCTGTACAATGTGTAATGATTTAAGCATTTATTTTTTAAATGTTTAAAATGTTCCAGCCTCCAAGTAATTATGTCAAAATCTACTGTTTTCTCCTGAATTAATTCCCCTTCTCAGGAGCAACAGCCCTCACTATCCCCTGCCCTCCTATCCAGTAATCCATTCTTGTCAGTTCCAGTAAAAATATTAACCAAAAGTTCAGGTTTTATGCCAAAAGGGTTTAAGATCATCCCTTTCCCAGCAACTTACATTTTAATAAGGGCCTTTCGGAGGCTAAAAATCTCAGAGAGGCAAAGGAAATAAAATTAAATGACTTTCCAGCAATGTGTCCTCCTAGAAATGGCCACTTGCCAACGGGTGGTGTGGAGCTCAGCCTTCTGCTGTCACCAAGACTGGATGGGTCATTCCGGACGGGACCCAGAAATCCACCAAGGGCCCATAGTTGAATCGCCTTGGGGTTCTTGCTTTAAATTCAAGATCTGGAGGTAGAAATGAACAAAAGACATAAAAGAAAAAAATGAACATGTTAACGGGGTCTTTAAAGATTAGTTTTTCTTTATCAAAGTATTTTATACACATTGTTTATAAAGCTTATAAAGAGAATCGGTGGCCTTGAAACCCCAAGTCCTGTGACAAACCCAAGGCAAAGGTGACAAGGTTCCACTTTTAAGCTACTTCCTCTAATAGGGGTCCACATAGTCCTCAATATCATGCTCAATATCATACCTGTTCCTTTAAAAAAATTGTTCTTTTTAGTTAAACATGACAGTAGAATGTATTTTGACATCTTACATACATGGAGTTTAACTTCCCATTTTTGTGGTGGTACACGGTGTGGAGTTACGCTGGTCGTGTAGTCACATGTGAACACAGAAAGTTATGTCAGATCCATTCTGCTGTCTTTCCCATTCCCATCCCTGCTCCCCCCTGCCCCCGAATTTAACCCTGTTTCATGCAGTGAACCTCCATTCCTCCCTCTCACCTCTGCCTATTGTGAGTCAGCATCCACACATCAGAGAGAACATTCGGCCTTTGGTTTTTTGGAATTGGCTTATTTCATTTAGCATGATAGTCTCCAGTTCCATCCATTTACCAGCAAATGCCATCGTTTCATTTTTCTTTATGGCTGAGTAATATTCCCTTGTATATATGTATTACTTCTTGCCTGTTCTTGAGACCCCTTAGTTTTGGGTATCATGTAT